TAATCAGTAATCTTTTTTTTTAGTTTGGAAAATCACTGACATAATATTTTTTATTTTTAATTAAAATAAATTTTATCAATAATCTTTTTTAAATGTATATTTGTTTCATTTTATATATGTAAATACTTTTTTGATTCAAAAAATGTTTAGAAACTTAATCGCTCAAAATATGAAAATCCATTGATTTTTTTCCCATGTATTTTCAATTATTTTACCATATTAATCAGTTTTATAGGTAATAAGAATGTTTGTAACATGTTTTAGAAAATTCAAGGAGTTATTTAACAGGTTTTGAAATGTCCAAAGACTTATTTGTTCTAAAAAATTGTCCAAGAACTTAATCATTCTAAACAATAAAGTCCATTGGATTTTTTAGAATTTTCCCTAAAATTATACATATAAGGAACCAATTTTTTTCGTGAATATGAGTAGCAATCTCGGCCCTCCATCTTATTTGATCCAACAACTCATATTGAATAAAAGTTTTAATCAAAATTATTAATTAAGGTAATTAAGGGTAAAAAAAATGAAGTTAATATAAATCGACGCCTATCTTCTTTGACTTTTTATTTTCGTTTTCAATTAAAAACTTTGATCCCCTTAAAGTTTAGAATAGATTATCTTAAAAATTACTATATTTTAATTAAACAAATTACATAAAAAACGAAAAAATTTCGATATGACATTCATCTCGATATAATTTTTTTTGCTTTAACCATTTTTTTACGTGAAATGATATATATATGTGTTATATTCATTATTAGTATTTATGTACGTTCAAGTGTATATAACAGCTCGAGAGTGTAAGTCTGTAACTCTACATTAACTTCTTCAACGTTGTAAGACACCACGTTCTTCATCATCGTAACTCAATATCCATGAAGTTTGATCGAGAACTCATCGAGGCTGCACGAGAACCTATTGAGACCGATTGAGAACCCATCGAGACCGATCAAGAAAGTTTGAGAATCCATTAATTGTCTTAGTATGTGTTTTATATGAAACCATAACCTACCACCTTCATTTTTCATTTAGAACCTATCGATTGATTTATTATATGTTTGTTTATGTAAAACCATAGGCTACCGCTTTCAATTATCGAGACGGATCAGGAACTCACTGAGACCAATCAAGAACACTTCAAGATCGATCCACAACCCATTGGGACCGATCGACACCAATCAAGACGAATTAAGAACCCATCCACTGACTTGGCATACGGTTGTGTGTTAAAATTATAACATAACAACTTCATTTTTCATCTATACCGATTTAAAACCTACTGATTAATTTATTGTGTGTTTGTTTGTGTAAAACTATAACCTAACACTTTTAATTTTTATTGAGATGGATCGCAAAATCTATTGAGATGGATCGCAAAATCTATTGAGATGAATCAGGAACTCATCCAAATCAATCAAGAACCCATTGAAGAAAAAGAAGAAAAAAACTGAAGTATGTAGACTTGAAACTATAGTATATTCATGATGAATATTATGGTAAAATTTTATATTTATGATAAATATCATACTAATATAAATATAGAGAGTTATTTTATACACGTGATAATACATAAATATTTATGATGAATAGTATGTATATTCAAGATAAACGTTACATGTGAAAATGTATGCTTATGGTGAATATCTAATGATGTATGAATGTTGAAAAGTTGTTTTTATACACGTGAACATATATAAATATTCATAATGAATAATATGTATATTCATGATGAGTAAAATGTGTATTCATGTGAATAGTATGTATTATATTGATGTATAAATATTAAAAAGTTATTGTATATATATTGGTAAATGTTATAAAAAACGTATATTCATGATGAATGTTATAATGAAAATGTATATTAATGATGAATGTCATAATGATATATGAATACTAAAGATTTGTTAAATACACGTGAAAATACATAATTATTCATGATGAATGTTATACTAAGTTGTATTCATGATGAATATCACACTAATGTGTGAATATTAAAAAGTTGTTGTAAAAATAATAAAGGTGCATAAATTGTGCTTGGAAATGAATTGATCTGGTGCACCTCATCAGTGTTGACATTCAATTATGATTGATCCAAGGGTGGAAATCTCTTCTTACGCTTCTAACTATAACTTCTTTTCTCACTGGAACCCAACCACACACACACACACACACACATACATACATACATACATACATACATACATACATATATATATATATATATATATATAAGTGAGTTATTATGCAACCCTTTACATTTATACAACCAATACAACTTGTGACATCCGTCATTTTTGGAGCGTCAGGTTAACACATTTAAAGGGGTTTCTATATGTTGATTAGAAGTCATCTGGCTTAGTTCCCAAATATAGTTCAGAGAACCTTGTTTCGACGGGTAGCTGATAAAGTTAATTTATGTAATGTCAAATATATTAAAAATGCTCCAAATATAATAAAATTGATATTATAAGTCCAAATTAAAATATAAAAGTCTTATTCGAATGTCCAAATAATTTTTCCAAAAATGTGAAACTTTGATTTAATAATGATATTTTTATCGATGTTTGATAAATTGTCTTTTGTTAGAATTTAAATGGGCTTTATTATTTTGTTTAAAAGAAAAATAAAATTTTTTATTGGACTTGGGCCTTAAGAGGCCAGCCCATTTCCTTTCTTTAAAACCCACATATAAATACCCCACATTCTTTGAAAACTCTCATTTCCAATCCTCATTTTTTGCATAAACATTTCCTCTCCTTAATCACTTTCTCTCTCTAAATCAAACCCCCCCAGCCGAGTTCATCTTCAAGCATTTTTAGAAATCTGTCAATCTTGAAGAATATCCAAGATTTCAAGAAAAATGTATTATACTAGTTATCTTACATTTATAAAATAACAAAGATTCTCATTTTTCTACACCTACTTCTCGTTCTTGTAATTAAAATTTCTGGAGAATTCAAAAGGGGAGATTATACATCAAAGACATGAAAATGTCTTCAAAAGAATGATAATCTATGATCCACGATCTTCGAACTCTAAGAAAGTAGGAGAAAACCACATTGCATGTGGAATTTAATCATGAAGAGATGTATTTTGAAAATTGACAGATTCTGTTAGCACTTGTGTCGACTGTATCTTTCAAAATAAAAGTCCAAATGTTCTGATTTTTCTTCTAAAACGTACTTTGATAAGTTATCTTTCTA